AACAGATCCTAATTTTCTCCAACATTCCAACCTTGAACCTAATTAACATCTATACAAGATTTTCTTTCCATGCATGTTAAACAAAATTAACTGTCAATGCCATGAAAGGAGATTTCTGAAGTGTAGCCTACTAAAAAGCCTACTACAGGATTTAATAAAACTACGTCCTCATCATAATGCCAAGAAAAAAATACCTGGAAGAAAAATGATCATTGCAGTTTTTAACACAAAAATATCAAAGTTAAACAGAACAGAAAAACTGAAACTGCTCCATCTATTCAGCCAGCAGACACCACTGTTACAAGTAGGAATGTTAACCATTAAATGAATTCACTTCATTTACATTCTTTTGTCCAACTCTTATTCACAGTTCTTTCATTCAAAGCTGGGGTTGTGTTTAGAGAGGCATGAAGGGCCAAGCCCTCTGCTGGCAACCAAACAAACAAGGATCACTACCCCCCATATTGTGCCTAGAACAGAGAGACATTTCCATTCTGATACTTCAAATTACAGGCAAATGTGTATAAATTTGCCTTTGCTTCTCAAGAATGGCTATTTATCATTCTAAGAGCTGACAACTGATAGCTCAAGGAGACAGGAAAGGACAGCACCATCTGTCTTTATCCAGAGATGTGGGTGCGTCTAGATTATCATATACAGACATCTCCACACACTGAAAGTGGAAAAACACACAGTGTATGTGTGTTCCAATCTGCTTTCTAAGAAAAAATATACATTTTGTAGTTGTGGTGAGTCATATCACTCTGGAACATGAAACAAATGTTTGTTGATATATGGAAAGCTCCAGAGAAATGCATAAAAACACTATTTATTAAATGAAAAAGTCAAGCATAGCAAAAGCACAAGGAAGTATAAAAAGGAAGCTAATAATGAAAGAGAGAGGCAAAACATCTGTGAGTTAATTAGGCTCTAGATGCAGGTCACATGATCCTAAAATGATGTATATTAACTGTATCGATAAGTAGATGTGCATACATTCTGTTTTCTTGAGGCTGGGTTATGATGGGATGCTTTTTGTCCATTCAGGAAAGGAGCACACCTAATAATCCATGTGACCACACAGCCCTGTGGAACTCAGACCCAAACTCTAAACAAACAGCACCAAATTACAAGAAGCAGAGAGGTAGATGAACCAAAATGTACTGTAAACAACAACAACAACACAACTATAAAACAATGTTTTATATGTAAAAATATATATTTTTTGTGTATTTTTTAGAAAAACCCAGAAATTAAAATGATGTGCTTCTCAGTTGCAAAAGTTGCCAGAACTGAGAAGCAAATTCTAACACTGCAAAGGAGGACTGAAGACACGACACACTGAAAGCAACACTATTTTCAGTTTGTCCTGACATTAGTAACTATTTAGTAACCAAGTGATGTGAGAAAAATCAAGAGTAAATGTAAAAATAAAAATCTAAATTTTCAAAATGGTTACTAATACGACTTGACCTTATCTAGGCTGGGATTCTTAACAGTGTTGATCCAGAACTATGCAGAATTTGAAACCAGAAAAATGTGCTGCTGAGGCTTAAAGTGTACACTATGCAAGCACTAGGGTCTCATGAAGACCCCACAAGATGGTTTGTGGAGAGGAAAGGAGAAAGGGCAAGGCGAGGGGAGATGGAATGTGTTTGATGGCGTATGGCCTGGCACCAAAGCCCTCGGGATGGTAACAATGTCAGCCCGAGGCTTCTGCTGCATGTTCAGAGACCTATTTGGAGGAAGCTGGGGAAAGAAAACATTTCCCCTCGTCTTCTGTCTCTGTGATATCCTGGCTTTAATGCGAGCATGGTATGGGGCTTAAAGTGTCACTTCCACATGTGGAAGTGGCATTTGTCCCTCTCCATTACGGGCCGTGGCCACACTGAGCAGCAGGAACAGCTTGCCTCCGGGCTGGTGTTAAGCTGGCAGGGCCCATTTCAGGCAGTGGCCACGGTCTGCAGCATCAAAGCCAACAAAAAGAAAGTAATTGCCCAAGGGCAACAAGCAAAAGAGATGTGAGGAACTGGAGGGTGTGAGAGGAAGAATGGACGAGCAGAAGGCATGTAAGAGTCATTTTCTGAATTAGCCTATGCTCCTTTTTCCTGAGCAGAGGGCATTGTGTTGTGTGCACATCACCTGTTTGTTTTGTTCAATCACAGGACTCTGCCATCTCCATCAGCAGAGGATAATCAGAGGTTGACTTCACCACCACCACGAACTCTGATGTAAACCACTGCTCTTTTATCTCTCCATCTCTTTATCCTTCTCTTCCAGATTTTTTTTCCTGAATCCAGAAAGATGGCCCCTGCTAGCAATCTAGCTTGCTCAGCTGGGGACTCCATCCTCCGTTCTGCACAGCTTGTATTGTTTGACATTTCTGACGCCTGGGTTTCAGAAAAGAGCTGATAAAAATATTTCCTTCACTTTTCACTGAGTAGAGAAAGATGACAAAACATGCCATCCACCACTCAGAATTTTCTCAAGTAGCTAAGCAGAGACAATGTTGGTAATGTAACACAGCTCGTAAAGCCACATGTCTACGTACAATTCTCAAACACAAAACATCGATTCAGAGAGGACATTCAGCCTTTCAGAAATTTGACTCTGTTCGTCTGTCTGTAAGGAACAAAGCGTGTCGGTTACCAGTAATTCAAACCCAGCAACGTTGCACCGCTCCCAACAGTCACAATAAGAAGCTCTTTGCCAACGCCAGCTGCCCTCAAACTAAATGAGGGATAATCACAATATTAGCAATTTCAGTGGAACACAAATGTTTGATTCAAATGCCATGAATATCCATATAGTGGTAATTGAGATATTTTAGTGGTGGACTAGCAAACAGGAGCAAGACGGGATGTCTACAGGGAGGAAGAGACAAAGAGAGGTGAGATGGAGTGTGACTGGTGCCTTCAACTAAGTCACACCACAAGTCAGGCTAATAATCCCTCAAAGGATCACAGACGCTGTTTGATTTTATAGCCCGAGCTTTAAGAGTATAGCCTGGCACGATTTTCTTCAAATTACTTGTCCAAAAGGGCTTTGGAGGTTATTTCAGTTCTGATCACCCTGCCAAAGGCTTTAAAACAAGCCAGACTTAATAAAGGCACTCGACAATTTGCTGGAACGTTTCTACAAATTTCACCTTCTTCCTTATATGTTTGCTTCAACTGTGCAGCATTTAACACAGCCTTCATGTACTATAGAGTTCAGATGGAGGTGAGTACATTTTCATTCTTCCCGATGACCAGCAGGGGGCAACTCCATTTCCATGAGTCTTTAAGTTAATGACCCTAATTTTCTATTAATTCATCATCTCAGTAAACTTACTCCTCATGGTGAAAGGGTTCTCAGACAATACTTTCAACTCTTCCTTAATAAAATATTATGCTGATCTTGGAACATTTGGCTTCACTGAGGGGAAAATAGATGATAATACTTCTGAGCAGGGCTCCGATGAAGAAGTGTATCGATGGAGACTGAGTCAGACAAACTACTTTATCTTATTTGATATCAAGAAACCAAATACAACAACGACAATCTCAAGGGTTGACAATGTGATCGTAGAATTGAACGTACAAACTTTTGGAAAGCATTATGGTAGCTGTCCACATCTGTTACAAAAGCAGACTATTGCATTTACTGGATGATCAAATCAAGTTTTTCTTGCATTTAGCCTTTCAAGTGTGTATAGAGTTCAGACATCGTGTAAGGTAACTTTTAATGACAGAGACCAATGTCTTAAAGACTTTTCTCTCTAACTGAGAGCATAATGTCATCTGCCCAACTCATATCACATTTCACAGCAGTTAAAAATGGCTCAGTTACAGTGTGGAGAATATCTTCCGGGGAATCTACGGCATCAAATGGCTGCATGCAGCTTCAATCCAATAAAAAGTTAGTGGTTTAGCTTTATCTTTCATCCTTTGGCACATAATTACAGACACACACACAATGCTCTGTCATCCAATGAGCCACCACATGGATCTCTTTTATTACATCCTGCCAGATACTGACAAACAACTGGGATGTTCAGAATGTTGCTTTACAGAGTCTATTCTTAAAAACAGCTTTTCTAAAATGCTATTTTTTTTTCTTTTTTTGAGAGGGATAAATCTGAGAGGTAGAAGTGAAGCTTCAGAGAATGAGGCTGATATAAAATAATATACAACATAACTGCAAATGTTTATGTTGTTGGAGCTGACTTGGGTTTTAAGATGATAAGATAATGACTTCTCTCTGTAGGCTCATTTGTTAGACAGAGCAGATTTCAGCTAACAGAGCCGATATGGGGAACATTTCTTTACATGCTACATTGTTACTTTTTTAGATTTTTAGATTCTAAAGTATCAGGCACATATGATGTATGGTTGGAGTAATCATTGCTAACATGAGTAGAAGATTCATTAAACTAATTGCCCCGCAAGTACTTTGACACATTTAAGACTCAACTCATCCTTCTGACAAACTGTCAAACAACTATTCTTCTCACAAATTTGATTTCAGTCAGCATCCGAAGCAATATCATTAGTGAGCTTCACCAAGTCATTAACAGCTGAATGAAGAACTTCAAAAGGTTAATTTATTTGCTAATCATTCTTTTTTCTTGGAACAATTATAATGAATCATCTCCGTGATGGACTTCAAAAACTTTCAACTGAGACACTGAATGTTGCTGCTATAGTCCCCAGCTGTATGAGAAATAATGAATAATGCATATAAATGCACACTTGTGTGCAAATGCAGATGGAACTATGAGTGTTGTGAAGTGTTTTTTCGTTGGTGGTATGGAAAAAACTCTTTTTTAAGGAGACACTGAACATAACAATGAAAGAAGGCACAAACAGGGTGGTAGTGAAAACTGAATATTCATCTTTTAAGTAATTTATTGTGATTTGGATTAATAAAAATTCCCTTCCTTTTATCACAAACCCCAGAAAGTTCATCATGGAGAAACTTCTATTTCAGCAGCTCATGCTCCAACTTCACTCGCTCACCTGTTGTAAATGTCGTCGTCCTCACCTCCCCAGCCCCAATACTCGTTTGGAAAGCCGTTGATCTTCAGAAACTGTTTTTTACTGAGGCCTGAAACTCCACCAAAGTAGCCCGCATACGGCAGCCTGCAGGAGGAGAACCAGGGAGGACAGTGAAAAGATGAGGAGTTGTGAGCAGACAAATGTAAGAGAAAAGCAGATGAACATAGCTTTCTTTAAAACGTAACATTTTTATTTAGAAATAATATTTGACTTATTATTCAATATTTATGTTGAATTTGGACATAGACATAATACAGAATGATAAACCAGCCCACCATCTGTCTACTGCTTTAAAATGGCTAATGATATTAAATATAACATCACTCAGTTCTTGAGTGCAAATTCTTCTCTATTTAGCACCATTGTTGTTAATCAATCCTGAAGAGCAAAATCTAATAAAACATAAGCACTATGGCTAAGATGCATTTTCAGTTTTGTTTTCATTTGAGGCAAAAAAAACCCCCAACATAATTTACATTTGAATGCAATCTCCAATTTTTTTCTGTCCATCAGATCTGTTAAATATCTTTGTCACTGATGGCTTTTAAGCGTGACTTGTGACCATAATTGGATAATCCAGTTCCTCGATAATCAACTCAAGATGTGCAATGGCTGACTAGAAAGAGCAACTTTGAAAAGAATCTGATCAGCAGTGGCTGCGACTAAGCCAAGTTACCAAAAACACATTAAATTATGTTTTTTCACATATATGGATGGATAAAAAAATGCCTATTAATTTAATATTTGATAGAAGAGCAAAGCATCTATACCGGTAAAGAAAAAGAGCGTGTGTGTTTGTACACACAGAGTGAAAAATAGAGTGCAAGGGAGCTGGATTACTCTTTTTTATAAAAAGTTCTAAAATTAGTGGAGTGGGATGGACATCATCTGCTAGTATCATGACAGGTGCCTGGAGTCTAACCAGAGGGCAATGTATGTGTGTGTGTATTCTGTTCAGAGTACCGAGTCAAATGTATGACAGCTTCCTGTTGAAAGATGACAAGCAGAAACTAATGAGAGCGTATGTTTCTGGACAAGTTCCCCAAGAAACAATATGGTCAAGAGTGTGTTTGTGCGCATGATTGAAAAGAATGGTTATGGAGTGAAAACCAGCAGAAACTTTACTTGTTGGAGATTTTTTTTTGTGGACTCTGAGAAGTCCACAAACTTTAGAAAATGTACTTGAAAGAGAAGATACAGAACTGCTTTGACTGCAATATTATACAGAAAAAGTTTAAAATTAGCAGAGAGAAAATATGTGTCTGTTGAATTAAAAAAATATGAGACATCATTTATATAAAGGTCAAAAAGCTAACAAAATTATGTAAAAAAATAAAGAAAAAATAAGCTCTGGGTGATAAAAAGATAGCTCCCACAAAAGGTCTTCTTTGTTTATTCTCGTTTTACTGCAATCTTTCTTATAATACCAAAGGTATATATCATATCTAATTCTGGGACACTATACACTTATTTAACCTTTAAGCAGAACAAATTTCCTTGCCTCTATCGTTTAAAAAAACAAACATTTCTCCGTAGTATCAAACCTAGGACAACCTCTTATAGTCAAATTCAAGCACAGCCACACCAGATGTTGTCTTAATAACTAAAAAACCCACAAATGAGGCTGTTGTATTTTTTGTTTAACCTCCAATTAACTCCCTCCCAGCTTTGACCTGTTGGGTCCTTTAGTTGTTACAGGAATGGCCTGACCTAGACAGCCATTATTGTGACATATTTCTTTATCACAAATGTCCAATGACTGTAGGTCCGAGCGCATGAATGGTCTCCTTGTTGAATTAAAAGTTCTAATTAAAAAATGTGGTCTTGCATGCCTAAATGATCACCCATTCTCTGACCTTCCACTCCCTGAACAGCGACCTTTCCCATTACCCCTTTTACTTAATTTACGAGGTACTAAAAAAGATTTTTCACTCTTAACTGTTTCATTACTGACAAGATAAAGCAGCCGCAGCTCCGCGTTCCACATGGCATTGTTTTTGTAGCCAGACAGCATTAGCTTATTAAGCACTATATCAGTGAGTCTCAGAGGGTTTTCAGATGGATAAATCTTTGAAATGACAGCTCTTAAATGGGTCGATCTGCTCTTTGGCCATACTTGGGCTGCTCATCAGTTGCTTTTAGATAATTAAGGGTACATGCTGTGAATATCATTGTGCAAAAGGTGATCAAAACAGAACCAAATCATTCAGTGCTTTGTAACTTTGCTGGCTGTTGATTAGACATGTTTTCAATGATGAATCCTTCTCTGTACAATTTATGTCAGGGTCCACTAGGTGGTTTGGCCATTTTAGAAAAGGTATAAGGTTAACGGTGCTGTTTAAAGCTGAATTATAAAAGGATACTGTCTTTTTGATAATCCAGTTTCATGACTGCTTGTCTCTTTCTTGACTTATATTAAGACCTTTCAGTTATTTGAATCGTTTGAGCACATACAGTAAATAACATTTTGGTCTTTGGCTTTTTAAGCAAATTCATTCACTGCTCACAGTCCAAAGTATGTCATCAGTTGGAGTGGATAAAAGTAGTCTTTCATCAGCAGTGGGTTAATATTTATTACATGAATACATTTTTCACAAGATATGAACCAGAAAGGAGCAAGAAAAAGTTATAAGTTGCAAAATACTGTCGGAAACAAAACTTGCTTTTTTGCTAAAAAGAAAACAAACAGAAATTAATAATTTATTATTCTGACATTTGTCAGGTCTTCTGCTCTAATCATCCAATTAATTGTCTGATTCAATTATAACATGCATATTAATTATTTTCACTCGACAGGCATTTGTATTACTAAAGCGACCAACTATGGCAGATTAAGAAATAGGCCAGCAGAAAGTGTGAATGATGGGTTTGTGATGTAGGTCCTGACTGAAACAATAACTGCTGTTGGTCTAGACACACAGTAAAGACTACTGTTAAGCTGTGGCACATTCTCATAATGATATAGGCAATGGATAAGCATTAATGTGCGCATGACGAGATTTGCTCATGTTAAATATGTTCCTGAATCTCCCAGCAAAAGCATTAGAACATCTGTACCCCATTCAGAAAATAGGCTTTAGAAACTGTTTAGAAAAACAATTTACAACTTTTAAATTAGCTTAAGGTAAAGGCACCAATGTGTCTGTGGGTGCGTATTGAAATCTTACCGGAAGCCAAACTTATCCATGGCGATGGCGAAATGTCTGGGCTGGTCGTAACAGTGGTAGAGGTTACGGTCATCCATGGGGATCAGATCCACGTCGCTGAAGATGAAGCAGTCGTACTCCGCGTCCTTCAGAGCTTCAGTGTAGCCAACGTTCAACAACTTGGCACGATTGAATGTGTCCTCACCCAGCTGCAAAGACATTCAGAAAAAGATATAACATACAGATGAGTGAAGAGCAGAAAGGAGCTCATAAATGATTAGTGAACCCTATGAATGATAGATGTTTATTAGAATTAAATAAGTTGATCTAGAATATTTCAATTAGAAGGCCTTGCGGTAAAATATGTGAAACAGAAATCAAACAGATTATGTAAATTATGCTGTTTTCAATTGACTTCTACCTTTCACACAGCTGTTTATTGAGTATAAAAAATGGCTTTCTGACACATCTAACGCAAACAGAAAGAGAACCGGTCAGACTCAACAAAACGATGTTCATTCTGTATTAAACAAGAATGCTTTTCCAAGATGTTTTCAGTGAAGCAAGAAAAAAGAGGCACTTTCAGTTTTTTTAAGTCCTGTTTGAGTTTCTAAAACTTTTATTTCATTTTAGAATATCTTTTATAACACCTCTCTAATTCTGTTGAGTAAGAGTTATCAACTTCATAAACTGATCACTCATACAGGATTATTCTGTACTTATTCGGAGTTTCAAGTTAAAATAAATATTCAGAGTTCACCCACAATATTGCATGCATAATTTTCATCTTGGACATTCAAGAGGCAAAATCGACCAGTTTTTGTCTGGAGCCAGAGGGATAAACTTTTAATTTGACTGGACCAAATTCCTTTAAGGTAACTCGATTAATATTTCTGTTAATGTTCAGACAGACCATCAGCATACAGAGGACTGAAACAATACAAAAAAAACACTGCATAATGACGTGGGAAACATTTACTGTTACAATATTTCAGGAGTAGGAGGCTGTCATAGGTATTGCATATCTCCACACAGTCTATACATACAAGTCTTTGTCTATGTGGTTTGTTGGTTTTCAGTAGTTTTATGGGGTCATAATTTCCCTATGTGGCAAATATATCTAAAAACGACTGTGGTTCTAAGTAGCTGTGAAGCATGAGCGGGCAGTAATGAGTCCATTACGTCTTGGCACACTACAATAAAAACCTCCAAGCAACACAAAGGTTAATGTGAAGTGTTTCAAATAGCAAGAGCAAGAAAATTATGAAAGAATATTTTCGTTTCTCTATCGGATGCATGTGTAGATGATTTTCCAGCTGATTTTAAGTGCAATGCCCAAGCTCCCACAGCTTGAGCTCCCCGGGGGGATTTCAACAGGTCTTATCAAGTAGAATTTACTGTCTTGGTCTTTGCTTAATTTGCACAAAAACGTATATCAATAAAGCAGGCAAAATTAAGCTCTGACACTTTGCTTGGTTGGTAAAATATGTCTCTGATGGCGAGTAACTAATCTTAAGTACAGTTTCTGCTGTGCAATCTCTTTAATTTGTTTACCCTTGCTGGAAGGCTGAAAAAATGTTCTCTTGGCCAAATGCACGGCCACCGTCTAAGGCAACACAGCATCAATGAACATCAGTATTTACTGTCTGCACTGCTAGTCTGTACAATATTTATAGCTACATGCCGTATGAATTGATGTGTTCATCGACTCCGACTGAACCGGCTGCAGCAGTGAAGTGCATCTGTTTCTCCGTTTCACTGGGGCTCAGGTTCAAGACGTTGGCAAAGACAAATGAATTCCTGCCTGACAGAACAGCAGCGTGAAGTCAAGGTTAATATCTCTGACAGTTATAAATTCAATAATGCACAAGGTATTGTACATCTCTCTCGGCGTGGGGACTGTTCAACAGTTTGCAATGTCCAGGGGCTTCACGTATAAAAGACTGCATAGCTTTTATACAGATAGAATCTACAACAACAAATCCATGTAAAAGACTCTGGAAAATACAACAGCTGGTGGTGCTGCCTTGGCTCCTTTCCCCCGTCGCCTTCTATCCAATTAACAATGGTAATCATACTGCAAAGAGTATAAAACTGAAATGCTGAATACTCATGAGTATGAGACCTGTGGTTCTATCGATGATATGACTGATCTCTGGTTTAGACACACTTATTAACCTTTAAGAGATTGAAAAGACAAAAATGGTGTTATCAGACCTCGTATCGGGGATGGTCAGAGCTTGTGACAGATCATGCGGACTCATCGATCACATCATACTTCAAGTTGCTACATTTCTAAAGCCTTTTCCCGACTCAAAACTGATGTAACGGAAAGGGTGGTTGTACGAAGAGTGGCTGACACAGGCTGATGTGCAGCAGAGCTGAAGCTGATGGCACATCAAAAAAAAAGAGAAGCATGAAGTTTATTGCTAATTTACAAGTCAAAAAAACTCATTTACACATCACACTGTAAGCTGGCTGGACACAGTAACATGATGTAATATTAATAACTGTCATAATTCATGAAGTGGCAACCGGGGAGCCTGGTATCAGCGACAGACCCAAGAGCCCAACTGATTCCAGCAACTTCAAATTAGAGGATTGTGCCAGGTGGGTGTTGGCTTACTTCAGACTAATTTGATTTTTTTTTACACAATTTTGACTTTGCATTGACATGGTACAGTCCCCCGTGTGGATACATTACAATGAAAATATATTCAATGAGACACAGAAGGCAGACAAAAGCTGAAGGATGCTTCAGATTTTGCAGGTCTGACCATTGTGCTGCTATGGTAGCTAAAGTTCTTCAAAGGAAGTGCACTTTTTCTGCAGCGAGTGGAGCTTTTAATTCCTTATACAGAGCCGCTATGATGTAAGAAGCCCCATATGACAAGATCACAGGTTTACGTCAATGAGACACGCGTCACAAGAATGACATCCCAGTTGGATAAAGGCCCTTGTGTCTCCAGCATGCAGCAGAACAAGGATCCTGTGTTACAAATTAGCTGCAGTCACATATTCTCTGGCCATTAGAGAAAACCACCCGCTTCTGTCAGCAGTGAGGCTTTAAGATGATTAATGCATCTGCTGCATGTCCTTACTTCTGCACAGGACACGATTTCTTTTTTGTTTTTTGGATGTACACTTGCCTCCATACTGCTGCATTATCTGTTTAGAGTGACTGTAAATCAAGTACAACATGTAATCCACCTTGTAAGCCCTCTAATGCCTGAGATTTCAGAGTGTAATCCTCATGCACAGGTAATACAAAATCTATTGTCACAAATCCACTGGGGCTCCCAGCCTCGGCTAATGTGGTCTTCTATCTTCCCTTTTTAAACAGGATGCAATTCAGAAAGGCTGGAGCAATAATGAATTGGGTTAGGGAGATGCCTCTGATTCTTATGACAAAGAGAAAACGCATTTTCAGAAACAATCACGTAATAATAATATTTCAGTATTATGAGCAAAGACAAAGCTGTATTTTTCAAGAAAAGCATTATACCTACAGACTGCACTTTCCACCCATTAGCGCCAGTTGAGAACGGCTCACCATGACTTCAGTAACACCAGAAGTTATATGGTTAAAAAAAACACCTTTTTTTTAAAATAGCATGCTTATACTTTAAAATACACCATTCCAACTGCAGTGACGCTTCATTTTACTTAATCTATATTGCAATTTTTAAATCGAACTTTTAGAAAATACCTCCAGTGCCTTGAAAAGCATTCTTAAAGGACGTGGTATCACCCTAATGTGAAGCAAATGTCTGGGTGAAGGCAGCAGGGTGCTCACAGAGGCACTAATTGATATAGGGAGCAGGATGCAAACCAGAGTGGATCAGCTGGAGGGACGTTTGACTCTGGTGTGATTGATTGTGTCGCTGTCAGGCAACACAAAATGCTCTAGACCCTCAGAAACAGAAGATGTGACCTCTACTTTCTTTAACAAAGTGGCGTGAATATTTTTTAAAAAAAAAGCTTGTCAATCCATCCATCATCCGATTTGATAACATTTCTATAAAAGAGGTCTAAAGGTTAAAAGAATGTCTCTGGAAGTGAGTTTAGGGTAACGGTTGATCTTTTAAAAATGTGATGAAATATGGATCCCCTTCCACCGTCTTTGTGTTGTGGAGCACATGGTTATGTAGTTTGTAGAATGTAAAATACCTCGTCTGCTCTAAAAGAAAGACAGTCAAAGAGGTGGAAGGATGGAAACCAGGGAGAAGCCTTTTAAGGACTGCACCGGGGATGGCAGCCCACTGTGCGCTGAAAAAACTTTTGAAGCATCTCCCTCAACGTTTTCACTGGAAAACTTCTCTGTTTACTTTTCCTCGAACAGTAAACGGGACTACCCACTCATGAAGATATGGAAATACTACCCACTATCTTGACACATCTGAATATGCCTTTTGAAATTCTGGTTTCAACAGATTAAATATGATTAACTGGAGCATTCATCTGGACTAAATGCGTGCAAAAAAAGAGAGAGATGGACAGGAAATGGAGTCGGGGTGCGCTGTGTGCATGCTCCGTTATCTTTACAGACGTCTGTGAACCTGCCAGCGATGGGCTTTACGGCGCTTGACGCCGTCCCTAATCACTAACTGTCATATTCGAATCCACATCAGTTCCTTCAAACTGGCACTCGTTAAACACGATTGGATGCTGCAGCAGTGTGGGCGTGCAGCCCGTGGGACTGTTAGATACAGAAGTTTACAGGCTTGTGAATATACAAAGCTCTGATTTGGTTTCATTTGCATGCTGTTAAAGTTTTCATTTCAAGCCATAATTGATGTATGCAGTTTTCAGTTTGGGAGTTTTTAAAATAATTTTTCAACTAAATAATGAAATATTTGAAACCTCTGCATGTGTGTGGAATAGATTTATGCAGAGCTCCGCCATCCCATCGTTTCCAATATTGGTTGTTTTATTGAGTTGATGTGGTGTTTTCTGAGGACATCTTTCTGCAAACGGCTGCATTTTCAAGTGTTTATTTCTCTCCTTCAGGCTGTTATGTTCTGACCAAAGCTCATCTTTTTTTTTTTTTTGTCACCTAGAATGCATTGGGGGAAAAAAAATGGTTTCATCACTATTTCCCTGCAGTGCCCCACAGGCAACAGAGAAACTGTTCATGTGTGGATAGTTCACAAATCAAGAAATTACAGGGTGAAATGCAGAAAGCGAACCCCCAATTTTATCAGAAATA